AGAAGATTCCACCTCGATATCTGGTGGGGACGAGTGGGCTTGACTCCTTTCCAATCGTCCCAATGTGTTCGTCAATTTTTCCAGGGCTTCCCTCATGGCGATCGTTTGAGGGTCCTGCCGTTGTGGAGAACTTGGTGGTGTATTCGTTTCATGAGGATAGGTGTGAGATGGATTTCTGGAACTTGAGTTATGACTCATGGCTCTCGGATTTTGTGGAGAGAATGAGATTATTTTTCATAATTAGGGCCCTCCTAGCGCCAAACTGTTAACGTCAAAATTAGCAAGGCTAATCTTAAGCCAACTTTAAGAAAAAGGTGATTTATTGTTGAAAAAAGACCACGAAATATATTTAGAAAATGTAATTGTGCTATGAGTTATATGAATACACTTGCCTTTCACAAGAGTCCTATTCAACTATTTATACATAATTTCAGTCGAAATCACATCAAATCAGCAATAGTACCGAGTTCGGAAATCGGGTCGCCGAATTCTCTTGTGATTGGTCGACGAGGCCCGTGGCTATGTGTCAATATTTTCTCCAGATAATGATGACCTGCAAGGGGCTTGAGGATTAGGACTTAGGATTGGTAGTTTCAGGCGGTGATGATGTCACCTGTGGCAATTGCATTTGATTGATAGAGTGATGTGACAGGGGGTAATCATGATATTTTTATGAGATAACGGCAGGATTGTCCGAGTAGAAACCGAACTCCCATTTGCCTGAGATGGGGTTAGCGAACTATTTTAACTTAGATCAGAGTTCGGTTGTCAACAGGCTTAATTGTAATTACAATAAAGTTTTGTACTTAGTTTGTAATTGTAATTAAAGTTATAGGACTACACATGCAATTATATGTAAACTAATTAGAATTGAACTTAAATTAGAACTCCTACTTGAGTTTTAATTTGAACTCTTGTTTGAATGTGGAATTATAATTGTACTAGAATCCTATAATCTTTTTTCTATAACTAGAGACTAGATTGATAGAAAAAAAATACAACATTCATAAATTCATAAGATTCAAATTTGTATAGAGAAAATATATTATTTTCTTGTTGTCTAAGATTCAAGAATTAGTTTCTAGATTAATTGAAAGAAGGTGCCCACACGCTGGTGTAGTCTTTTCGTTGGAGAATACTATAGAAGGTTTGAAGCACCAAGATTCTTGCAATTAAAGGAGACAGAAGTTCACGGATCAGAATCAATTCAAGATTGATTATTGAACTTAAGTATAAGATTCAAATCCTTTAATTTTGTTATAACATATACGTGAACATCTAGACGATCTTGCTTATTGAATTAAAGAAATTTTTAATTTCTAATTAACTCCGCTTCCGCATTCCAACAATTGGTATCAGAGCAATCTAGATCGTTCACGTGCTTGTTATTTTTGAATCTTGATTGCATGTTCTAGTCTAGCGATGTCTAGGAAATTTTTATATGTTGATTGAATGATTGGATTATTTTAAACTGTGAACCAATTATTTGTGGCTGGTCTTTGTCCTAATTTGTTATTTTGAGTCTGTAACAAGATAGGTGGATTACGACTCCATCATCTTGATTTAATTTTCTGTACAATTAGATTCAAAATTTGTAAGCCTATGGGACATAGGAATTTATGTAATTCTTGAATCTTGAAAGTTGATTGGAAATTGAAGAAGAAGACTTGAAGACGTATATATATATATATATAAAAAAACCAAAAACGGCATAAAAGAATCCCTCTTTTTTGAAGAAAAAGAAGAAATAATACATAATATCGTAACACAGAAAAAAAAACAACAATAACAACTAACTAACCTAAGAAAGCTCGTTAAGATACTTCACATCCCAACTATTTAATTTACTTGCAGATTTCTTGTCCTTACGTTTGAGAGAGCGAAATAGTGTCTTAGTTTTGTTGGAAGAAGATTTACGAGAAAGTAATAATACAAAACACTTTTCACATTTATATTATTTCATTTCTGGAAGGTACAACATTCAACAACGTCAGAAGATATTTTTGAAACTAAGCTATAGTAACCGACATTAGATGGTTGAATAAAGTCAACAAAGGCAGCAACAATTAATGCAGTTATATATATATATATATATATATATTTATATTTATTTATTTATTTATTTAAATACAAATCTTTGAATTATTTGCCCTCCGTATGTTCCAAAAAAATTCCCATCTCGTCACTCCTGAACTAAGCTAACACTATGGACCTTAACGCTCCACAACTCTCATCTCTTACGAGATAGTGTTAAGTTAGTCTTATCCCCAATGAATATATTGATTTTGGTAGAGAAAGTTGGTAGAATTTTATGAGGAAAAGAATACACACCCAAATATGGGAAAACTTCTTTGTATAAATGTAAGAAAAAATTATTTACAACATCTCAAATATTTTCTCTCTATAAGATATCCCCCTATGTCACTTTAACTCCCAGTCTATTCATTGGAATTTTCTCTCAGCTCCCCACCATTCCCTCCATGCATCTCTTCATGGGATTTTACAAATGATTCAACACATCTATTTAAAGGCAAACTCTTGTTGGACAAGTTAGCATTAATGGCTAGAATTTATTTGATTTAAGAGCCTTCATTGTCTGTGTAACGCCCCGAGATCTTTTTCATCCTCATTATTTTATTCCTTTATAAAAATAGGCTCGAGGTGTTACTAGATTTTCTTTATCTAATTTAAACGAAAATATCACTTTCATTAAGTGTTGAAAATGCATAAAAATAGTTATTAAACAATGTGCACAAAATTCAATATGAAGATGTTCTTTAAATAAAAGTTTGACAATTATATTTTTTAAAGCATTTACTTGTCGACCCCATAAGTATCACTCAGTCAATCTTCTACGCGTCCATACAACCCACTCTCAGCTGAAATTTTAATAAGAGTGACTATTTTGAAAACACTCAGTAAGAATACGTATACATTCTTATTCATATGATATAAATATAAAACTAACATAACATACCAACATTTCTTAGATTTAGAGCTCAATGAATTTTTTAAGAATCCTCATATCCTGTAGAATTTAACATTTTTTATCAAACGGTCAATCCTATAGGATTTAATATCTTTGACATAATGGTCCATCCCAAAGAATTTAACATCGAGTTCGACCCGAAGGTCTCATAGCATTTTATGCCAAAAATTATACAAATATCAAGGAATAAGAATTTATAATTTTGCACGATATATTCTTACCTCAATTTGATACTGAATAAATTTGAAAATGGCTTGTGATTAGGATAATATCTCTTTTTAATATATGTTTTCATGTGTGGAGGTGTATATGTATAGGGTGAAAAAACACTTCTCACACCTTTTATGTATACAATATTCACTTACTATTAACTAGGAATACAAAACATCACATGTTAGGGGAATTCAGTAGGTTAATTAACATATTCTTTATTTCAAATCAATCATGGTGAGTGTAAAAAATAGTATTTATTGATGGGACATTTGGGTAAAAGTTGAAGGTTAATTTAATATATTAATTACAAAAAAATTGATTGACTTTATTTTTTCAATTCTCAAGAAACGTCCCACTCTTCATTTCTCACACACACACACACACACATATGTTTTTTTATTAATAAAATATACGTTTAGAATAATTTTCTTTCTATCAAGATAACTCGAATATGGCTAGTTCAAAAATTATTTCTTCGAGTCAGTCTATGTTATTCAACACGAGCTACAAAATGAGTATAATATTGATATATTTTATCAACTTCTAAAATGCGTAAATATTTTTCACAAATATGATTTATGATAAATTCTAAGTACACATGAGCAAAATAAATTATCAACCTTTGGACTCTTAGTGTGACGATAAATCTAAATATAAATTATTTTATTTGCTAAGTTACCCATATTAAGTTTAGGCCCATATAAAAATAGTAAAAAAGTTTGGAGTGTTACCATCTGCAAGTTGACATCCACCTCAGACCACAAGATGGCTCACGATTGTGGTTTTCATCTCAGAAGTACCTTACTTCCATCCTTGCATCCCTTGTCAATGTTTTCGCTGTCTGCATCATGCCTGCATAGCTCGATTGCATTTACAGCTTGTATTTTGCCTGTAGAGTGTGCTTGTGTTCTTCTTAAACAATATGCCTGCATTCTTGCTTGCATCTCGTTGTCGCAATATTTGTGTTGGTCCTACCTGCATATCTTGCCAAAGTGCCTCACTCCCTTGAGATCCATGATATATAGCTCAACCATTCCCTCTTTCTCCATTGTCCAATGTGCATTCTTCTTCCCATAAATCTATTCTTCTTTGGTTGACAAAGAATGAGTCTATCCTCAAGCACGGGACCTATGGGTATATATCCTAACGATTCTAGGAGCGACAGTCTCTTGTGTACTTGACACATTATATTCGCACATTAAAAAAATTATCATGTTGCAACAAGTCGACAGAATTATTTTGATGTCCAATTATTAGAAACATTAACGTCATCTACTCGAATTTAATCTTGGACCATCACTTGTCACGATCATTTATTTTGTCAGCAATCATCTCTTATCTCTTGTCTAATCCTATTGTATAAAATTATTTCTTCTCAAACTCACTTTCAAATATATATTTTATGAGACTTAAAACTATTATTGAAAATTTCAACTACACATTTCATTAATTAAAAATTTAAATTTTGACTAAATACTTAATAGCTAATACATGTTTTTATTATTGCAACTTTTTTTTTTTTTACATAGTTTAAATTCGTTACAAACAATCTTGTTCGACATTAATTTTTAGAATTGATTTTTGATCGTTGAAGAGAGAAAGTGGTCCGATATGTGAGAGAATCAGTAAAAAATAACGATTGTAATAGTAAAATAATGATAAAAAAATTAATGTTTTAAGAGAAAAAGTTAATATCAAATATGCACTTAATGTTGGGATCCCATTTTTATTATTTTTGCAATATAGAAAATTAAATATATTATTTGTTTTGGTCTGTTAATTGCAAGCAATAAATTATAAACATTTCAGCTTCACCACTCCCCGATAGCCACATGGAGCTACTCTATCTCTTCCGTTCCATCCTCTCCACAACTTTTACCTCCCTTGTTCTGTCACTCCTCCTCCCCTTCCGCCACCTCTTTCGCCGCGTCTCCACCGCAAGCTCAGCCGAGGACGTTGGAAACTCAATCTTCCTCTACCAAGGCACCGTCTGGCACGAGCGTCGCCTCCCCGTCCACCATTCCTTCCGTTACAACGTCCGATACGCCTTCATTGATCTCGACCGTGCGCGGAGACACGTTCCGTCTGACCACCTCTCCGGAGAAGAAGCTCGGCGTGCTGCTGAAACTAATGGCACCGTGTAATTTTTCTCCCAAATTTGCATATATATAAAAGTTTGATTTAGTGTATACGGTATACCTAATGTTGGTTTATTCAAGTTATTACACTTTTTAATAATGTATATTGACTTTGTAAATTTGGATTGCGATTGATATTAAATTTGGATTTTCATTGATGTCAATACCATTTCACAAAGTTATCAACATGGTAGAACTTCAAATTCCAATAAGCCTGCCTTTTATATAGTGTTTCTCATGTCCTTTACTAATTATTAATTAGGTGCTAATATCTTTGAAATGAAAAATGCCAAGATAGGATTAAGCCTTGATATCATTGCATTGGCTCCAAAATATTGTATTCGTGAAGCAAAGACGTGTTTTTGGTTGTTTCTTATTCAAGTGTCTAAATTTTGCAAGAGATTCAATTTGCAACTGACGATTTAAATCTATTCAACAGTTTTCTTTTGACAATACCTCCTAGTGTGGGATATGAACAAAATCCATTGAGTGTCTACTATTGCTACGATGTTGAAGGCTCTACACAGACTTTGAAGAAATGTATTGCTGAGGTGAGTTGGCAGGATTTTTAACTTTGATGCAGTTTGCCTAATTACTTGGAATTGGAGGCAAAAGGTCATGTTTTTATATCAATAACTGCACTAACCGAGCTTCATGAGAAAGCTTCACTGGAAAAACCAAAACGCAATTATGTCATAATTCAATCATAACAGTAAAATGTGATACGCAGTTACAACTTTTTGGTTGTTTCCGATATGAAGTTGGAACATAAACTGCTTGCTGAAGTACACATGACAAGAAAATTTGTCTTGTTTTTTCAAAATTTCGAATGTATTTTTATCTTCAGGTGGATTTTGGCTACACTAACCTATGCTAAAGTATGTATCTTTAAATTTGATGCAATTGTGACTTTACCTATCCATTGAGGGGTATTATGTGCACTGATATCTGGGCGAGAGAAACAGATGTGTAGGATGCTGGGATTCCATGGATGTTGGACCTATGTTAATTTTTCTCTTTCAATGGTTAAGTGCTGAAAAGGATAGTCAGTCAATGAAAATTCATATTGGGACATCCCTAAATAAGAGTGCTCGAGTGTAATTTCCTTTTCCTTCTCAGGTTTTTGCTGCAGCATTAAAAATAATGAAAAGATACTTTTATTCTTTCTTTATGATGCCAATGTTCTTCAAGCTTTAAGGATTGTCGTTGGCCAATTCTTTTTACCTTCTCTGTTTCTGCTCTCAGCTATTCCTAACATCAATATGATTGCTTCAGGTTACAAACACACCATGGGGTGAAAGAGTGTTGTTTTCATTCAATCCGACCTCTGATTTAGTGGCAAAACCTCTTCATGTTAGTCCTTTCATGGTAAGAATTCATCAATTTTTTCTAATATTATGGATGACTGGGTGGTTCATATTTGTTAATCCCTTTCTTATTTCCATTCCTTACTTTTTAACTAGCTTTGTTGCTTTGTACCAGTTACTTGTGAATTCATTTCTCATATGTTAATGATAATCAATCATAGGATATGCTTGGGAATTGGCATATGCAAACCAATGATCCTGGGGATAATCTTCGAGTAGTAATTTCAGTACAGCACCCCGAGCTTGGTAACTATTTCACAGCTTCATTAACAGCCAAGAGGGTCACCTCCTTGAAAGCAGGGGATCATGCACAATTCTTCTGGTTGATGCCCCATAAAGTTGCATTATGGATATATTGGAATGTAAGTATTCTTTAATGCTGAGAAACTAATTACCTTTCTATTGGCTTTAAGATCACTCTTATCTCCCTATTTGTTGGACCGTGTAATAGGTTTGGTGTGCTTTTTGTGATGGTATTGTCACTACGGATTTGGAATGATGTTTCTGGCAATAGGCTTGGTACCTGTGTTTGTTGTTCTGGAACTTAGTTTTCTATATTGCTCTTTTCTATATTTCTGCTAGCAAGTGGCATTAATTGTTTCCCTAGCAAATGATCCGCCAAAATTAACCAACTGTATGCCTATTAAAGATGTTCGATTCCTTATTTATTTTCTCAGAAGATGTGTAGGAATGTTCAGAGCATTTAGCATTTAAGTGGATGTTTATTTCTTTGTCATTATGTGTTATCCTAGGCTCTCAAACTTTGGTGGAAAAATGTTTTGTTCATTCAACATCCAAGATATCAAACTCCAATGTATAGAGAAGAAACTTTACTGCGTGATAAAAATCTCCGATGTTGTCGATCATTTGGGTGCAATGAGCTAAACAATCCACATGTTGAAGCAAGGAAATATGATGCAGTAGCTGAAACTAGGGACAATCATCACTTCACATGGAGAGATGCTAAGTGGCCCTGGTGCTGACTATGAACCTGTAAGTTTGTATCAGCTAAGCTCTCAATAAAATATCCATATAAGAAAATTGAGATAGGATTTTTTGAGCTCTGATGCACAGGAAAGTTTAGGATGTAAACGCTTCATTATTCTTGTTCCAAGTCTTCTGCCACCCCTTTTGTATTTGTTGAGACCAACTCGTACTCAAAACTCATGAGATCCCCATCTCTCCCCCCCCCCCCCCCCCCCCTCCCTCTCTCTCTCTCTGGGTGAGCATGCACACAGTCTTGTTAAATTTCATGTGTAAATTTCTGTAATATGTTGTTTCAATTTTGAGAAAGTCAGTTTATTTATAACGGAGCACATGCTATTCTGGAATGATTATCTAAATTGTTACAACGATACGGTAAGTCTAGGTTGACACAATTTTAGCATTGAGAAACAAAATAAAACGATCTTAAGAAATTAAATGTGCAAAAATTAAAGATTAAACACAAGAAAAGTGTTTCGGCTTAAGTCCCGGAGGTTGGATGACCACTTCTGATGCCTACATTCCTGTTGAGCATCCATTAAATTGGGTTATGCTCGGTTGCATTAAATAGTCCAAATTAGCAGCAAAGTTACAAGAGTTTCAACCAATACACAGAGATGACATAAGAATACTTATCTCTGAAACAGCAATTGATTTGTGAAGAATCACTAAGAATCTTCCCAAAACTCTCGTGAAATAAAAGCTCAGAAGACCCTCTTATTTTACAAATATCCACCCAGAATATCATAAACGGAGGCTAAACATTACAGATTGAAGCTCTTAAATCAGATATTTGAGAAACAAGAACCAAGAAATGAATAGCACTAGAGATTCTCTCTCTCTTTTTCTCTCTCTAAAAGCAACAGTCAAGAGATGAAATGAAAAGATCCATGTGCCAAATGAAATGGCATCCAAGAGATAAAGCTCAAGAATCATCCAGAAGCAGCAGCCAACGGCTAGGATTAAAGCCACGTGTGATAATCTAGTAAAACCGTCTTTACAAATAAAGTCGCATTTCATAAAAATGTGTTTTCAACTCAAATTCCAGAAGCACAAGTACAGGGTTCGAATCCAACAATTTTCACCTTACTGCCAAAATTTGGAACTATATGTGCTGTCAGTAGCTAAATCACAAGTTCATTTTTTATTTGCTCCAATTACCTGTTCATGCTTTACATGGAACCAATAGATAAAAGTTTCAAATCGTTGACAAACTTCTTCAAATGTATCACTTTTGTGCCCATATCAGATAGATTAAACTGCGTATTGCCAATTATAAGAGTTCCTTTTGAAATCACATATCTTGTAAAATGATATTTAACATCAATATGCTTTAACACTTTATTTATCAGAAAAGTATGGCATGATCATTAACAAATCCAAGTTCAGATAATAAACCACTTAACCAAATAACCTCTTTTATTGCACCAGTAGTAGCAATATACCCATCTTTTGTTGAAGATGCAACAACCTTTTGGATTTGTGATTTTCAACTTACAACAGTTCCACATAAGGCATAAAATTAGGATGAAGTTGATCTCCTATTATCCTTATCCTCAACAAAATCTGAATTTGAATATCCCATTAAAGTAACATAATATTTTCCAATTTAAATATTAAACCTAAGTTAAGATATCTTAATGACCATTTTAAGGCATTCTTTTCTTTATTTCTCCAAATTTGCATGCCTAGTACTTTTTAGTAGAACAAATGTCCTTCATATCAAGCTCAAATTTTAATTTTAGTTTAATATTGTCAATCTCAAATTTATTACAACTAGCAAGCAGCGTTTCATTCATATTAAGGACTAAATATAGAGAACTTTTACCTCCTTCACTTTTACAGTATAAACAAGTATCATATTGGTTTCTTTTACAACTAAGATGTAGGACAAAAGTGTTAAATCTTTTGCACCATTGCCTAAGAGTTTGTTTAGGATTTCTTTAACAGGCAAACAATATTTTTTAGGATCTCCTTTTATAAAACCAACAGGATGTTTCATGTAAATAATTTCATCTAATTTACCATACAAAAAATAAAAATAAAAATAAAAAATTGACATCCAATTGATCAAGTTCCTATTTAAATTGAGTGACAAGAGCAAGTAGACATCTAATGGTAGTGTATTTGACAATAGGAGAAAAATTTCAGTGTAATCAACACCTTCTTTGAGTAAAATATTTTGCAACCAATCTTACCTAATATCCAACATTTTTACTTTCTCCTTCTTCTTTTACTTTATAGATTCACTTGCAGTCAATCAGTTTCTGCCTTCTAGGCCTACTTACTAACTCCCAGATTTTGTTTTTAAGAAGTGAAAACATTTCATCTTCCATAATAGCTATTCATTTTTACTATCTTTACACTTGATAACATCTTCATAGGAATTAGGCTCATTTTTAAACTGTTCTTGATAAGTAAATAAGGAAACAAAATCATCACAGTCAAATTTGTTAGAGGGTCTGATTTGTCTTCTCTCCCTATCTCTTGTAAGTTGATACTCATCAAGGGAAAGAGCTGCAGAATCAGATTGGTTAGTCCGATCAATTCCTTGATTATTTTCAATTTAAGATAAAGTGTTATTTTCATCAATACCACTTTCCTCCACAGCAGGCATAGGAGTATTTTGCTCATTATGAGAAGACTTTACATCAATTTAAACATCTTGTTCTATTAAAGCATTTTATTTTCCTTCTAAACATAGCATTAAAGTTTCATTAAAAATGACATCTTTTCTAACGATGATCTTATAACACTTTTCACGATTCACCCATAATTTGTAACCTTTAACATTTGCATCATAACTTAAGAAAATACATTTAAGTGATTTAGGTTCTAATTTACCATTATTTTGATTAGCATATGCAGCACAACCAAATACTTCTAAAATTATTATACCACGCAGATTCAGGAACAACAAAATTTAGAACACTAGTGGGACTTTTATTAACAAGATATGCAGCAGTTTTGACAACTTCACCTTAAAATCGTTTAGGCAAACCAGAACTTAAAAGCGTGCATCTAACTTTGTTTAATAAAGTTATTCATTCTTTTAGCTATTCCATTTTGTTAAGGTGTATATGTAACAGTTCCGTTTCTCAAAATACTATGTTCTTAATAGAAATTATTGAATTCATAATTGCAAAATTCCAAATCATTATCATTCCTTAAGATTTTTATTTTGTGACTAGTTTGATTTTCAACTTGAGTTTTTCAATCCTTAAAAACAGAGAAGGATTCATCTTTAGTTTTTAATAAGAAAACCCAATATTTATTTATTTATTATTATTATTACTATTATTATTATTATTTTTTTTTTTTTTGAAAAATTATCATTGCTCAACAAGTAATAATTGAAACCGGATAGGTGCACGTAGTGGCAAGACCTCACAAATCAGCATGTAAATATTCAAGTGTTTGTTTGGATTTATGAATTCCATTTGAAAAAGGTAATTTGACTTGTTTTCATATAACAGATTGTTCACAAGACCCAAAATCATGAAGATTTATTCTTCCAAAAACTTTCTTTTTTTTTTTTTTTTTTTTAAAAATGCAAACTGTTTTTACCAATATGGCCAAGTGTTTCATGCTACAGTTTTGCAAGTGTAAAATTCTCAGATAAAGAAGAAGTTGATAGACCAGATAAGTGTTTAGCTTTCAAAAAATAGAAGCCATGTCTCTTTGTGGTGTTCATTTATTAAATCATTACCCCCTAAGAATTTTAATGATTCCTTGACCCAAATTTATGTTAAACTCCATGTCATCTAACATACCTAAGGATGCTAGATTCCTCTTCAAATCAGGAACATACATTGTTCCTTTCAGGATTAGGACATTACCATTATCTAACAACAGATTTATAGTCCTTATTCCACTAACCTTATAAATATTATTATTTTCCATTATGACTTGCCCATCAACCTTTTTTCAAAATCAAGAAAACAATTTTTATTTGGGTAGATGTGGAAAGAACAGTCTAAGTAAAGTATCCATTCATCACTATGTTTCTTCTCCACGTTAACAAAGACTAAACCATTTTCAGTCTTAGCTTTATTATAAGCTAAGGAGCACTCCAATCATCAAACCTCTTTTCATTGAATCATTTTTCTTCTTATGGCAATCTTTAGTAAAATGTCCCAATTTTCCACCGTGATAACATTTCTTGCCTTTAACATTATTTTTGGACTCATTCTTATTACCCCCATTTGTTTTTCTTTTCATTAAAAGACTTGGAGTGATAATTAGATTTACTAAAAATGTTTCCTTTTACTATCAAGTTATCTCCTTGTTGACTATTATTGGACTCAACTTTCATCTCTAGCGCTTTATTTCAAAGGGCATTGATTATTATATCAGTACTAAGTTCTTCCCTGCCATATTCTATAGTAACCTTGATGTCTTTATGTGTGTCACTAATAGAGTTTAATAGGACTACAACCATCTGATCTTTTGAAAAAAATTTAATCACGGTTGGCTAAGTTTTGTAAGTTTATTCAAGTTTTCATCCAAATCAACCAAGAGATTAAAAGAAAAGAGTTCTTTCAAACTTACAATAGAAAATATTTATTTAGAGTGGTTTTAGTCATATATTTGGACTAAAGTTTAGTCCAGAATTTAGAAGTAGTTTTAGTTTCACCCACTGCTTTGATTACATGTTCACACAAATATGAGAAAATAGTACTCCATGCAACTTCTTCAAGTTCAAATTTTCTTGTAGGAATCATGTCAACAGGCCAACTATCTTCTAATGCTTTTACACATCTCATTTGCATTAAACTAGCCTTTATTTTCTGAAACCACATATTAAAATCAATTTTACCCATCAAAATGACTAACTTAAAATTTAGCAATGGCCATTATTTAGACAGAAATATGACATACAACTTGAATATAATACCAACAAAGAATAGCAATTATACAATTTAATGTCAATCAAATTACAGTAGTACACAAAGTAATACAAGATTTCAAAAATTTAGTAAATTTCAAGCACATACAGAGGACATTAGGCCAAAACCAAAAAGAAAACACAATAATGGAGACAGTTTTATGTTTCAATGATTCCTCCTACAAGACCCTCCCTGTACATACCTGTACTTGATTTATTTCAAATTCTCAAGGCCTCGTAGGAGCATTTGGACAAACTCTAGTATCAAGGAAGTTTTAGTGTTATGAAAATCAAGGGAAAAATTAAGAAACCCTAATTTCGAAAATAAAACTTTACAAGAAATTGAAGATCTCGTCCAACAAGTTTATATAAACTCTATTTCTTTCAATTTTTCTAAAAAGCAGTTCCAAAAATTTCATTTTGTAGCAGATCAATTTATTTATTTATTTATTATTATTTTTTAAGATCCAAGTGTCTTGCTCCTTAGTAATGACTCTGATACCACTGTAAGGCGAGGTTCACATTATTAGCATTAAGAAACAAAATAAAACGATCTTACAGAAAGTAAATGTGCAGAAATTAAAGATTGAAGATAAAAGAATTACTTCGGTCTAAGACCCGCAGATTCTGGACCACTTCTAACGTGTACATCCCCGGTTGAGCATCCAATAAATTGGATTGTGTTCGGTTGCACTAAATAGCCCAAAATAGCAACAGGCAAGAGATGAAATGACTAGACCTGCGTGCCAAATGAAATGGCATCCAAGAGATAAAGCCCAAGAATCATCCAGAAGCAGCAGCCAACGGCTAGGATTGAAGCCACATGTGACAATCCAGTAAAACCGTCTTTACTAATAAAGTCGCATTTCACAAAAATGCTTTTTCAACTCAAATTCTGGAAGAACAAGTACAAGGTTCGAATCCAACAAATACAAAAACACGCTTTTTGGTTAGATACACGCTCTTTGGTTAGATTGGAAGAAATTCCGATACATTACACTAAGAAGATTCGGTATTTAATGGTGGCCTTTATATCAAGAAGTTTATCACCATTGTTGCCAAAGTTCTCATGAAGAAATTTCGTGAAGAGAAATGGCCAAATTCTAGGAATATCTACAATTTCTCAAGTTACATTATTTTTGCGTACTTGATGAAACATTTTTTCTTTACAGAACTGGAAACAAAAATTGTTTGAGAAAACTGTCTGAGCTACAACGTAAGTTTGTGGAACAAAGCGCCTATTCAAATAAAGCTGGATATCCCATGATCAATTCCCATTGTACCCGACTTTCTTCAATTCTTCCATGCCCTCCATTGTTCAGATATGAAGCTTCTTTAATTTGTCAAGGATTTCTTAGGCTTACATATTGCTCTGACGTCGCCAAGGTTGTCAAGAATTTTTATTCTTATTTTCAAAGCTGAACAGATCAAAGTAGGCTGATGAAGAGAAAAATTCATAGAGTCGAATTCTACTAATGACTAGTTTCCCTGTTTTTATCCGGAATTCATCACATGTTTCATATGAAATTTCAGTTTGATCTCGTATTAAAACCGATACCTAATAGTTGGTATATTGGATGAGACCCACACGAATCAATATCACTTTCCATGATGACTTGCGTTCGATGCTTACACAAAATTGTCTTATATTCAATAAAGCATGATTAAGTTAGGTCTTTTTATTCATACTATAGAAGAATGAGACTTGGCTAGCAGGCCGCTGAATTTTTGTTAGCATTTTTTTTCTCTTTAATTCTTTTGATTGATTTTCTTAAAGCGCAAAAGAGAATAAGAACTTGAAATCTTAAAAATGCCCTTGCATAATTAGGTTTAAAACACCTTGCTCTCCAGACGGCGAAAACTTCAATAATTATCGTTTACTCCAATTGTAACACAGGACTAGAACCATTCAAATTACAACTCCTCGACATTCAAAATAATAAGAGTGAGAAACATAGCGAGTATGTGGATTTACTTGGATGTCGAGGTATCATGATTTAAATAGTTCTTGATTCATGCGATGATTTGAATGGTCAATTCTACCACGTATACAATTAAACGATCCCGTTGAAACTTTTTTCAAATGTATCAAACGGGTCGTATTGAACTGATTCGAAAAATTTGGTACATAATAGAAATGGAGAAGATAAGATGAAATCCAGATAAGAATCTAGGAAACTTTGACGTCCCATGGCAAAAAGATGGATTGGTTATCTCATATATTTTGTGGTCTATGCTCACGTTAATGACGTACAACCGGAAAAAAGACAGTGTGCCGCCGTATATCCTGAATCCACTGCAAAGGTTACACAATCTTAGTATTGTGTGCTAGAGCCTAGATATATGATCATTATTTTAGTTAGATAAGACATTATTTGTGAGTGAATTAAATTAGATTCTCACGACACACATGAAAATATTGTAATATATCATATTTTTAGGTAAGTGGCAGAAAATGCTTTAGCGTACGGAGATCCAATTAGACTAGTCGATGGATGGCTTTGACAATATTTTTAGTTGCTTTTATCATTTAGAGTGTGTTTGATTACATTTATTTTCTATGAAAAATATCAGTTTTCCACCTAAATTTCTATTTAAGGTGTTTGATTGCTATTTTTTCCATGGAAAATATTTTTCAACTTTTAAAAATATGCTTAATTTTTCTTTTTTTAAGGAAAACATTTTCCTTGGGTGGAGGTGGTTTTTATTTTCCATAAAAGAAAGAAAACATTTTCATTTCTAGGTAATATTTTCCATGTCAATCAAACGCACTCTTAAATTGTACTAGGAGATTTTGGTCGTTTGTCACATGGTAGGGTTTTTGTCAAAAGGTTGCTAAGTTTCATTCATAAAATTTGATTTTATTTTTTTTAAAAATAAATTTTATGAAAATTGAAAGACTTTGATTTTTCGATCTAAATTAGATTTATTAATAGGAGTTCTTGTTTCATTATTAGAGATTTTTTTCGGATAGAATTTTATTTGAAATTATATTTTATAAAATTAAAGAAAAGAAGGAAAAGAATACTAGATCTCAATGAATTTCCATGTAAATGCAATTCAAATTCAAGTAGTTCTTAACCAAGGGATTTCTATTTTCTAAAAGAGGAAAAAGGAAAAGACACTGCTTGTGCTGACCGCAATCACGCGTATGATACATCTGCAACTATCTTAAAAACCCGCGTCTCATTCGTGGGTTTTTTAATAACTGCGCAGAAATCTCATTTTACACGTGCCTTTTATTAAATTTTTTCATGCTCTTTCGTTTTTTCCTCCACAACCACACACGATCTCAACCTTTTGTGTCAGTTTCGTCTTTCAATAAGTATTTATATTGAAGAATTCGTTTTTTTCTGGCCCTCAAATCCCAATCAACCGCTTAAGATATATACACACATATCTATCCTCTTTTCCTCTCTCTCGCTTTCTTACTCTACTGATCATACTTGAAATTATGAAAAGGAATTGTGATTTGGAACTTGGGGTTTCATGCCCTTCTAATAGGCAGTGCCACCCTCTGTAACTCTCTCTCTCTCTCTCTCTCTCATAAGGGGTGTGTGTGTGTGTGTGTGTATTGTGTAATTTTGTTTATGGGGCTGTAGTGTTTCTTATTCTGAGTTTTCAAATTGAAGGTTAGATATGAAGAATAGTGGGAATAATCAACTGCTGACACTTTTCTGCAATAGAAAAGTTGCTGTTTTTGATGTTACAGAGCTTCAGGTTTAAATTTCTTTCAAATTGTTTATTGAGAATTCATGCAAATTGGATTGTGGATAAAACTTCTTATTGTTTGGAATAGCTTAAAAACTTGTTAAAATTTGATGTCAATGTCAACAATTAATTTTAACATCAGATGTATCAAAAGCTTTGTCAAACATGAAACAACCCCTTCTTATCATGCATATCTATCTATTTATCTAATGAAACAATTGATATTAATGCAGGCTAGAGCCATTATATTGCTTGCAAACAAAGAAATGGAAAGGACGAAACTAAGTTTGGATTCATTGTTATTACCCTTTTTACAATCGCCATTGAATAGTCTTTCCATGAAGAAATCACTGCAAAGATACCTCCAGAAGAGAAAGACACGGATCCAAGCTACATCCCCTTATCATCATCATCTTTAGTATTATATGTTACGGTGAAGAATGAAGACGAGTCTATGTGGTTTAATCAGATATAATTTATTTATTTAGTTTGTTGTATTTTATAATTAGCGCTTTATGTCATTATTTGGTATCTTGATGTTAAGATAATTAGTGTATCAGACACGTGGTTTAGTAAAATAAATACTCTGTAGAATCAATCTCAACAATATTTTGTACCAATAAGAGTATTAAATTTATCGATATTTGTATTAAGAGTTGAATACAATTCAAACACGCATGTAGCACTCAAAACATCCATTATTTGGAAAATACTTCCAATCCCTAGTTGATTTTAAAAAGCATTCTCGTAAAATTCTATAACCACTTTAGAATGTGCTATTAACACAATCACGAACCTCGAAATCCGTGTTATACATGAAAGTATTATTAGGAAAAAAAGAAAAAAAAATGATGAAGAGACCACACGGGCTGGACCCATTCATTCCGAAGGAAAAGTTGGTCCGAGTGGCCCAAGTAAATTTCAGAATTCCTGGCTTGGTAAATTTTTGATAAAGGTCTTTTTTCCAGTCATTTTCATTGGGATGTGTAATCTCACGCCATGCCAGCACTCACTACCACTCAAAATTCAAAGAAAAATCCAAATTTTCACACAAAAGACTGCACAACACCAAAAAGCTAACAAAACGTACAAATTTTACCTACATCGACTGTCAAATTAGAAACTTCGAGGAAAAACCTAAAATTATTCTGAATTTTCGCTTGATCAAGAATAATTGGACTCGTTTCATGATCAATTTGTACTGAATATTTGTGGGTTGATATAAATTTAGGGCGACGAGAAGGTATTTGTTGAGCAGAAATTTGAGGGGAAGAAATTTTAGGAGATTTACCGCCTGTTGGGAAAGGATTTTTTATTCAAAAAATTAATTTTTTGACTATTATTTCACTATTTTAACAGCAATTTTTGACTTCTTCTCTCACAGATCGACTCCACTTTTCTTCTAACGTTCAAAAAATCAATTCTCAAAATCTTTCTCAAACGGGACCTTAGCGTAGTCCCAGAAGGCAGCAGAGCCTCTTCATCTTCACACCAGCTTAGATATGCATAGGCTATCATCTTTACCTATGAAGCTTAGAAATGCAGCGAGGAGACAGGTGAAACACTACACAAATGTACATGCATCGATTTCTTCTAACATGAAAGATATTACACTATGCAACTTGAACTTGGGCCCTCATAAGTGCAAATCTTATGCCTGTATATTTGTCTATGTTGGGGATATTCCACCGATAATGTGCATACATTATATTCTCAAAATGTACCTATTACGTGCACGAAATCGAACATAGTTTATACTTACCAAATGAGATTTGAGAAGACGAAATGATAATTACCAAAGTCATTCACGTAACGACAGATTCAATCCTTTCCATTATTCAAATATAAGCCATTACATTCTTTAATTCAAACCTTATATGAAATTAAAAGAATGTTAGTCAATTTCTGAAATCAAATACTAAGTTAGAAAGAAATCAGAAAGAAGAGGAGATGTAAGTGATGCGATTGGCTGAAACAAGTGTTTGACACTTTGTCCGTGAGATAAATTTGCCTTGCATCGTTGCTAACATTTTTGACAGTCATCTCCCAAGATACAACAACTACATCAAGTCATGTGAGCACTCCAAATAGTTTAGACCAACGAACTCGAATGAAATTTTCTTTTTACTAAACCATGATCTTTATGCAAAGAAAACCACTTTTGATGAAATATTTTATACAACATAAAATGAAAAGAATGGTATGTAATGACAAATAAACGTCCAAGGAGCGCTATATATAGAAGGTGAAAGGGTGTGGCTAGAGAGACACACCCCACACCCAAAGCATTTTTCATGAAAGGTTGCAACCCAATCTATCGCTTGCCTACCACTAGATCGCCCGTCAAGCAACAAAATCAGAAACATTGTTGCTCGCCTGGCACTGGCCTGCCACTTGAGCGACGGCCGCATATGCTGAATTCCGATTTTTCCTTCAAACTGTGGACCATAGTTTCTCTTTCATCCAGAATTGGTTTTAAGATTCCAAATATACCATAACAGTTTACTCGACGAATAGAACAAGTTAGTCTATTTACTTTCATAATTTGACTATTGGATCAAATTCTAATATTTGGTCGAAATTGACACAAAGTCATTTTCCAAGGTTTATGCTTAACCAAAATTCAATTCTTAAAATAAAATTTCAACAATCCACCACATGAATGGAAATTCCAAATATGCAAATGACAATGCAAACACTAGTAGAGAGAGTAGAAAAAACACTACATCAGGTAAGGTAGCTTCCGGTTTTGAACATTCTTTAATGAAATACTATTGGACTTACCTGGCTAATTGGTGAAAGTGATGTCTTGAACCATTTAGCAGTTGATGTAAACCAAGACAACAATATTCACACAGATATCTTCCATAATCCGTTCATGGTTCTGCTGACTTGGTTCATGTTGGTCCTAAACCGTTCTTGGATTTCATAAATGTTTAGAGAACTTTAGTCTTGAACAACTCTCATTGAAGTAGCCCCACTTCACACTTACATAGGCGACCTCATATTAAGAGTATTCTGCCCCACTCAACTTGACTTAATCAAGATATAAGAAACATTAAAAGAGTATCTTAACCTCTGATCACTCTGTAGAAAGCGATTTAATATCATAGGAATGAATTAGCATATTATTTTCTAATTGCTTCACTGAATCTTCATAACTTAATTGTCCCTTTGAACCAAGATCTTGTGATCTCCAGTCAACAAGGTGGCGTAACCATTATAAAGACTCTTATGTAATAGACTTTAATCACATTCCTTTTAATATGAACTATACTTGATCTCTCGGTAAACATATATATAATGGATCCACGAGTTTCCGCCATTAGAGATTAACTGCTTGTGGCATTGTGTCTATGATGTATATATCTAGACTTAACATTACAAGTGACTCAATATCTCATTAAGTATAGCTAGCTACTTCAATTGATTCATTTAATCGATACAAATTGTTACGAACTAAGAAATCCTCTTATGAAACTACATGCTTCTCACTAGTTTTATCTAAAACTTTATCAATTCCAAACAACAGTTTTGGAGGATTTCTATCAAACACTACACTAGTCGATCACTTTTGCTAGTGAATTTCATACATGGGTATTCTATTTTCAACATTTGAGCTATTACAATGCATTTCAATTTTATGAATATTCTTCAAATATTCCAATTGTTATTGCATGTCCAGAACAAATGTCATAATTGATTTTCATACCATTTTATCCACGTTTGACTTAGTGTGCATCGCGTTGTGAACCATCCTTATAATTATTATAAGGGCTTCATACCTTTTCACCTTCATAGATTGTTTTTCTATGATTTATGAGGTATAAGGAATATAACTTGTAAATAAGTTACCCCCATAATTCCTCAATTAGGAATGTATGTGCTAGTAGTAGTGTTGCATCCTTATGTCTCAAACTTTTACAAGTTACAAGCATTAATAGGCCATGATTGAACTTAGAGTTCATCAACTCTTTTTAAAGTTCAGTTCATTCATCAAATAGACAATGTACATATCAAATAATTAAGAACAAACAATGCTTCGTGAAAGTCCAAATACTTTCAAATTTGTGGTTGTCAACTCACAAATAAAAACTACTTTCATTCAAAATTGCATCCCATAATGTACCAAGTCAACACATAGACCCAAATACAATTTACGTGCATAAATGTGTCAAACCAATAATGCTTGCAACAACATACCAATTTAATTGATTCAAAATATTCTCCAAGATATTCAATTTAGATATTCAACACCTTGAGTTCTTTAGGCACGTGTATATATACAACTAATTCTCTGTGAGCCGTGTTCCAGAAGATTATTTCTTCAATTGAGAAATGTTGTGTCAAAACTTTTGTCAAAGATTGACACGAAGAAATTACTTTGTCCAAACAATACCATGAAAGTTCATATATTTTCAAACATTGGTATATGTTTCTTCTTCTAAGGAGTACAGATACGTACAACTCTCTTGTTCTCAATTTGCAATTATTTGACAAACAAATTAGCAAATAAATCATAAGTCACACATCGGTTCAATTTAATGTACCAATTCGATGCAGCATACAAAACCACCTCAGAGCAACATTGGCAAATTAATTTGAATGCAACGCAATGCATCTATACTCAATGGTCACAATTCCCACATTCAATTTTCAGTTTACGAATATATTAATGAAATATACTGATAGATGTTTGTAGAGAGTCAGTATATTATGCAACTTTATAACTTTAGTCACATTTGATTAGTAATTAACCTAATTTCCAACATACGTTCAATTAGAGAATACAAATTAGCACGTGAAGAAATTCATCTTAAGATTATTTGGGATATTTCACCGATAATGTGCATACATTATATTCTCAAAACATACATATTACGTACACGAAATCGAACATAGTTTCGACTCACCAAATGAGATTTGAGAAGATGAAATGATAATTACCAAAGTCAAATACGTGACGACGGATTCAATCCTTTTCATTCTTGAAATATATGCCATTACATTCTTTAATTCAAACCTTATATGAAATCAAAAGAATGTTATTCAATTTCTCAAATCAAATACTAAGTTAGAAAGAAATCAGAAAGAAGAGGATATGCAAGTGATGCGTCATTCATCTTTAAGATGAATTTTCCCCGCATCGATGCTAACGATTTTTTGACAATCTCCCAAGATATAAAATCACGTCAAGTTATAAGAGCACTCCAAATTACTTAGACCAAAGAAGTTGAAGGAATTCTCTCTTTACCAAACTATAAACTTTATGTAAAGAAAACCACTGTTGATGAAGTGTTTTGTGCAACATAAAATGAAAAGAATGATATGAAATGACAAATAAACGTCCAAGGGATACTATATATATAGAAGGTGAAGGGGTATGATTGGATAGACACGCCTCACACTCAACATTTTTCAAGAAAGATTGCAATCTAATTTGTCGCTAGCCAACTGTTAGATATTTGCTCGAGCGACAAAAGCGAAAACCTTGTCGCTCGCCTGCTACTTGAGTGGCGGTCATATATGTCGAATTTCGATTTTTCCTTCAAACTTTAGACCATAGTTTCTTATTCATCCGAAATTAGTTTTAACTTTTAAGATTTCAAATATACCATGACGATTTACTCAATAAGTAGAACAAGTTAGTCTA